ACACACACACACACACACACACACACACACACACACACACACCACCACCACCCCTCCCCCCCCCCCCCCCCCTCTCTCTCTCTCTCTCTCTCTCTCTCTCTCTCTCTCTCTCTCTTTTCATAAATCGTATTTTATGTGAGTATATGAAATTTGACTCCGGGAGTCAGATTTTCATGTTACACCAGAACTTTTACTTGAGGAGTGAAAGTTATAGTTTTCAAGGGCTGAATTGGGAAAAAGAACTCTAGCTTTGCAAGATATGTATACACACAATACATAACCGGGAAAATTGAAATGCACACAGTTTACCTTTAATGCACAAAAAATGGCAGACATGGAAACCTTTTAGAATTTTTTTTTTTTTTTTTTGAGGAAAAGATATCTTTCGTCTTTCCTTACCTGATGTACAGGAAAATGAGAAATGAACTCTTCATGATTAGGAGACCTGATTGCCTTGGCTATTTCCATGGAACATGCTAACGTCTGCCAGGGCTCATCTGAAGATCGCCACCATTTTTTGCCCTAATTTGCCATAAAAAAGCAATGTCGATTTATACTTACTGACAATGAATTTGATCACATTCTTCATTGCATTAATTATCATAACAAAATAAAATCATTTTAATCAATCATTAAAATTTCTAAAAATATACCAAGTTTTCACCAAATTTCGAGCAAGCATACCTATTAGTCTATCAAATATCAATTTTTAATTTTGCTTTGCCAAAAATGTTGGAATTCCTACAAGAATAACTTTCCACACAACATCACAGATACACACAGAAAAAGACCGTCATTTGTAGCGTTCTTCTTGTGAACAAATTTACCTCCAGAGGGTTATCTGCAGAGTCAAGTATCTCCGGCAGCAGCTCATTTGCATAAATAAGTCTCTCCTTCAAAGAGGACCTGAAACAGCACAATGCAAATGACCTAAGCCAAATATCAGACCAAATTTTCAGCCATTAAGTCACAGACAAACCTTCTGTATTTAAAATACTTGTCTATTTTTTTCCTGAAAACTCCTCTTTCCTTTTTACCTTTTCTTAAACCCGTCGTATTTATAAGACTTTTCAGCCTTTAAAATGCTTGATTTTTTTCCCGAAAACTACCTTTTCCCTGTTACCTTTTCTTAAACCCCGTTGTATTGATAAGATGTATCTTCAGCCAGTCCAGACCCCGAGGACCCAGGTGCTTCCCTGTGCCAAACATCAGCAGACCCCGCGTAAGGTCACTCCCTGGAAATCACAAATTTGACAAAAGTTAATTTCTTTAAAAAATAATATTTCCACTTAAAGATGTTGATCAGTTGTGAAATATACTTGATGAAAATGTTATGCCTATTACACTGTGATAACATTATTGGTGTTAATTAAGCGCGCTCTGCAGTAGGAGGAGACATACACTTGCACCGTAAGTGACCTAAATACTGGATATATATATATATCACGGGGTTTGGGGGGTATAAAACACCAACCTTTTTAGCTGGGAAAAAGGTCCACTCTGGGTAAAATTTTATCTACGTACATTAAGGTTTCATGGTTAAAGGTCCACTTTTCAGAAAAAGAGCCCCCCCCTCCCCCTTGAAATTACGGGCCTGCTCATTTCACACTGACCAAAATGCACAGAAAATAATTGCTAATGACTGGAAACAATTGGTTTTAAATTATTTATTTTTACGCCCCTGGAAAGTGACGTTTTCTAATGACTGGAAACAACTGGTTTTAAATTATTTATTTTAACATAACTTTTATGTACAGATCATACCCATGTGCTGTAAGAATGGCGCCACAGTGTACACACGGCTCCTGAAGTCCATGTTATGGGGGAGCCAGAATACGTCATTTCGAAACTAAAACCAAAAATTTAATGCCTATGACATCAAAATGAAATATATGCTATTTATAACTTAGCTACTTACAAAAGGAATGATATTTTCATCTTACTCTCAAGGTAAATCTGATTTTCATTTATTCCCTTCGCTAGAAAGTTGACTTAAGCAACATTCTGGCATGTATTTTTAAGTTAGAGTCAAGTAGTCATAAATTCAATATGGCTGTTTATGCTCCCTTAGATATATCGATTTCCCTTTATGAAACACAATCTGATAAAGAGGCTCACCATGTTTGCAATGGACAGCCTGTAGAGTTCTGTGCACCACAAGCTGTAATTCTCACTCTGTTCTTTCACCATCTTTTCTCTCTTTTGAAAGGCCTCTCTGCGATCCCGTTTGCTCATGGTTCTGGAATGAAGATGACACGAGTTGATAGAAATATGTCCGTTCACAGAAAATGGAACTTAAAAAAAAAAAAAAAAGATTAATGTTAGAGATGACCAAATCGTCGTTAATTTATCACAAGTAATGAAGTACGAGGTATGTTCAACAAAAGCACATTTTTCTTATTCTATGAGAACATTCAAAACAAGTTGATCAGGGAACTTACAGATCCAACGGATCAAATATGGCGGACTCACTTAAAAGGTAGCCGTTTATAATCCCCTGATAGTCACCCCGCCTCCACACGTGCCGTTGATGCAGGGGCCTAGCAATTAAACCATGGGATGAGATTTAATCCATTTAATGGCTCGTGTGGAGGCAGTGAGACCATAAGGAGATTAAGCGACTTCCTTTTATAATGGGTCAGCCATATTTAGTCCGTGGATCATCTGTTCTGAATGTGGACTATCATGACGCTAAAAGATTACAAGAGATCAGGGCTCCGTATCTCGAAAGGTTCGCTTTGTTGCGCACGTGCGCAAGTGTCTCGATTCCATAACCGATTCTATTTCGAGATACAGGGCCATGGAATCGAGACACTTACGCACGTGCGCAACATAGCGAACCTTTCAAGATACGGAGCCCAGGTGTCATCTTGGGACATTTATTTCTTTATGCTCTGCATTCTTACTTGTCAATCTTAGGTAATGGGGGATAAGAGGAGGGTAAATATGGAATATCCAGTGTCATGTCCCCTTTCTCCCTGAAGATTTTAAGAGCCAGGTCCAAAATCTGAAACAGGAAAAAAATGGCATCAAAACCTCAGTACACTATATAAAATAAGTGAAAGTTCCCAGTGAAAATAAAAATAAAAATTTGCATTCATATCTTTTACATTGTACTATTTTAATATCTTAAAAATTTAGCTGTCCATATATTTATTTACATTGCACTACACATTTTAATATCTTAATATATATTAACTACTTATATATTTATTGACTTTATTCATCGTATTCTGTTCACTTTACCCATGTAAAGTCTACTAAACATTTTATATGGATTTTAAACTATAATTAAATATTACTATATTATTATTACTGTCATGCCTGTACTTAACATATTTCATTCATTAAAATGTATAATTTGTGTAAACACATAGTTTCTTTAAGGATCATAAAGGTAAGTATGATCTTATATTAAACCTATCAAAACACTGGGATGCCATGCATCAGTGGAGTCTGCATACACAGACTGTCGGGGCAATCCAGGGCTTCATTATCTTTAAATAAATTATCTCATTAGAGAATTTATAAAGGATTGCTATATTACCATCCTGACAATTATTTCTAAATTACAATTGTTTAGAAAAAGAAGAAAAAGACTACTCCCTGAAAAAAAATGAAAAAGGTTTAAGAAACTTCAGTCTGTTGAAAGTAATGGGGGCGGTTTGACAAATTAAAACAGCCATTACCTGCTAACTGGTTTAAACTTTCTAACCAAAAATGCTTCTCTATTTTGACGCGAGATAATTCAGTACTACCTAGTTTGATAAATGGTATATTGCACCCGTTTTAAAACAAGACAGGCACTGAACCAAAGTGGACCAAATTTTGAGTCTAATAAGAAATTAGACCAATTACAATAGCCATTCTGTAATAATGATACAAGGTAACAATTTTCATAATATTAAAATAATAATATTTTAGTCTAAACAATGATTGAATTTAACTGTATTACAGCCCACTGTCCAAGACAAAAACACTCAAGTTTTTTTCACATCATACGAAGGGCATTTTATGCTTCCTGTGAACATTCTTCTATTTTTTTGAGGTCGTGACTTACTGGCTCGTTAATCTTCCAGGAACATGCCCCAAGAGCAGTGAGAGTGTCCAAGGAAGGCAACATTTCTGAGGACGGCCGAGCCTGTATTCTTTTGTCCACTGGCCTCGAGTCATTTGATCGGACCAAATTTACTGAAAAAAAAAAGGCCCGTTAAATCCATCTATCTGTAGTTTAACCAAAATTTGCTGAAAAAATTGATAAACCCGTTTTAAGTTAATCACCCCCTGCTGAAAATGGGCAAAAGAGAGGTTTTCGCATATGACAAACATAACAAATATGAATTACGAAAAAATGTGTTGAACCTCGCAAGACAGAGCTTCGTTGTGCTTGTGAACATACGGGTACATAAATACCATAATGATGCAATTACTGACCAATAAACACTTCAAAAAGCGAGATGGAATTAAGGGACTGAACACTGGCTCTCAAAGTGAAACAAAATAATAATAATAAACAGGCCAATATTATGCCACATGAATGCATCAAGATTATATCACTATGATTGTCCTCGATTCCCATCAAAGTTGACCTTGACCTTGACCTCAATACTGTACCTTGGTCATGAATCATTCCCCCGGATTTGGTACTCGTCCAAGGTAAAGGAGGAACCAACATTGGCAATTTGAAGGTATCAAAATGCATTTTATAGCCCTGTCTGAATAGCCTTGTAAGATTTTCATCGGCCTGAAATAGTGTCAAGTTCAAGGTCTTTAGGTACAGGTTGAATTAACACACATGTAGTTCCTTTCCACTGAACATAAAAGTGAACAAAAAGCTTAATATTTACAGTAAGAACTTCTCCAAAAAGTGAGTTAGACATTGAAAGAAAATGTTACCTTTTTATCTAATCAACTTCAAATGCTTTTATTCTGAATGAGAATTTCTTTACCTTGATATGTTGCTCAGTGACAAAGCCGAATTTCTTGTAGAATGTTCTAAAGGCAGGCACAAACCTGGAAAACAAATGTTACTGAATGTATGTGGATCTTGGTAGCGAGCGAACAAACGATAAAAAAAAAAGAAAGAAAAAGAAAAAGAGGGAGAGAGTGTGTAAACAAAAACCAAATAACATACTCACCCCTTTTTTGTATCAACTTTCAATTCTTCAAATATTATACTTCTCAATTGTTGGCCGATCTGCAATCATATATGTATTATTGCTAATGCAATATACTGGTTAAGTAAAAGATATCGAAGCAAACTGTTCACTTTTCTAGGCATAGTTTCCATTATTCAGCCAAACCCCCTTAAATGCTTGCAGAACTTGTGATTAATTCTTAGGAAAATTAGTAAAAACTTTCTGATGGGTCATTTTCAGACATATTTTAAAATGTCTCAAGGGGTCATGCAGTTTATCTCACCTGTTTTATTATTTCACGGGGCCAATAACAGACAATGTCATAGTTGTTCTGAAAATGGAGAAAAAATCAGAAGAAAAATCAGAAGATTCTAACCAGTATATTGCTCTTCTTTTTTTTTTTTGATGAACATCGATTCCACGTGGAATGACCTAACTCAGGGATTTAGCTGCTTGAAATCAGCTTATTGGATGAACCGCCCCCTCCTGGTATTAAAAGGGAATACAACTTTTTGGGGACCTAAATTCAATAAAATCCTACCCCCCTCTTCTCTCTAGATTTGCCCATCATGTTTTACCCACTGAAGCTTAAGCCTAATTTGGGTTAAAAAAAAAAAAAAAAAAAAAAAAAAAAACTAGGCTAAGCATACTTACGTTTCTATCAATACCATGCTTGTCCTGCAATGCCAGCCATGTTTTTCTGTGGTTCGGTTGGGCCATGGTTTTTGATGTGTACACTTTCACATAGTCTGCATACAAAGTTTTAGTCTAGTCGGAAAAATAATGAAATTCATACACTTAAAAATGTAAGTCTCAAAGTGCCATTTTACAATATTTACGATAATATTTTAATGGTTTTAAATCTACATCTGTGTGCATTCTAAACATGTATTTTTCACCTAACTGCAATAAAGTTTTGAAGCATTCCTTTAGAAAATTTGAACTCCATTTATATCATTGCAAAATGGAGGTCATGATGAGTGTGTATATATATATAATTAACAAGCCACTTACATCTTCTAGAATGTTCCTTTTCTTCTTCACTTCTTTTGTGTATTGCCTGTGGACCATTTCTCCAAGTTGAAGTTCAAACCAGGAAAGAGTGTAGTGTTTGTCCTCTATAATTGTCAAAAAGCTACGGATTTCCTAAAACGGCAATTTATTTGACAAATATAGGATGCAGGTGCAAAATAAAAGTAAACTGGGGGACATGCGTGCTGAAAGGCTGAAATGTAATGAGCAACAATTTGTGAGGAGTAAATAACTTTCTTCTAAGGAAAATTTTGTTTGGCATGAAAACCCAGCATGAGATACCATTAAAAAAGCAAAGTTCTAGTTTATATATATAAAAAAAAGGAGTCACACGACTAGATATGGGTCATGTGACAAAGTCCTGTGACCTACCTTCATTAAGAGCTCCACATATTGCTGATCAGACAACAGTGATAGAAATACAGCTATGTTTAGACTGTACACACTCTGTCCTGAGTATAAAAGATAAAAAAATTATTCTTGATAAAATGTTGACATTAATACACTTCATTCACTGAGGGACCATTCCCACCGATATTTGGATCAATCTATCTCCCTATCAAACTAACCGGCTTAAAGGTCTGTCACGCCTAGTAAAACTGTTAGGGGGTAATTATCTTTACCCCTAGCTGATTCAGTAGGCATGACAGACATTTAAGCCTCTTAAGCTGATAGCAATTTAGCATGAACCCCCAGGGAGTTAGGTTGTTCCAGATGGATCGATATAAGTACGGGAGCCCAGTCTGAGGGATAGAACAGAAAATTATGTCTAACAAAAATGAAAAAAAAAAAAGCACCTTTCCTCCTGTTTTTATGTTCACTTTTTAAAAATTGTTAACTTAAAAAATTGCTTTTCACTTAAAAGGAAGAAGTACAAATAGATAATATCACTTGGTCTTGATTTCATAATTTACAGATCTTATAAAAATGATCAATTGTTTCAAACAAATGCTAGGATTTCCTACAAATACTTACTTTTAAACCCTCGATTAAGCTCATCACGTCTTTCACCAATGGCTTTCAATAATACTTCCCTGAACTGCTTCTCTATCTCCTTCAATTTTGGTTTCTAAAACAATATTAAACAGGATTGATGTTATTCCTTTTTGTATTTATGTAACACAATGAATATCACAGTACCGTTAGATAAAAAGGACCTTGCCTAAGTGACTTCCAAAGGAGAATCCTAATGTTATTTATTATTATTTTTTTTTACTCTAGCATAAAACATGCAGGTATGTGTATAAATGGTGATTACTCGATCTTTCAATGGGGGGAATTGTGAATTTTACAAATGCTGTATATTTGAAGTCAAATTCTTATAATTAGAACACGGCTATTGAGTGGTAGCAACAAAATTAAGAAGCAGGCTACTCTATGGTTCTATTCTATGCAATAAAAGCACTGCAAATGCTATATAGAAATATAATTTTTTGTGATAATAAAATTATGTTTCTGAAAGTTTGGTCATTTTTGCCCACTGAAAAGTTGAATTATTACTAAGTAATTATATACAAAATATTCTAGAACACTGCACAGCCTTTTGCTTTCTACTCCAACTATGGTTTAGGCCCAATTAAGTGCTTGTCTACCCAATTATAAAGTCAAGTCTGGTTCTCACCTGCCACAGAAACCACACACAAAAATGAGAGAAAGGTAAATTAAAGTATGCTATGCTGGTTTCACATCATATAATTTAAAAAAATGTTGAGTTTAGTCTTTCAGAGAATTGCTATGTACTAACCAACAAGAACATGGTCTGGCCTTAATGAAAAATTACTCAAGGATAAAAAAAATGGCAGCCTACCGCCTTTTTATGTCCCTCTAGTTGCCCTGGTGTCAGTTGAAGAACACTGTCCACTTCAACAATTCCTTCTTCTTCTCTTTTTATCTGCTCCTCCAAGTGATTCATCAACTGTTCTGGAGTAACCTCTCCAGCATAGGGGTTGACATAGGACTAAGAGGAGGAGCAAGACTGTCAGTCTTTCACACTTTTAGTAGGTCTACATTTATCAGTACAGAAACACTTAAGAATATTCCTTATATGTAATAATGCTACAGGACAGAGGGAAGGAGGGGAGCGTTAACTCCCTTTCAAACGTTTGCTTTTGACTGTTTTGAGGAAGCAAATTCAAGTTTACTGTCCAATTGGTGATTCTTAGACTGAATTCCCATTAACCTTTCATACTAGCTGGATCGATCTGGGGGGGGGGGGGGGGATTCTCACCAAGTGTGATTCTCACACAGGGGGTAATTAACTTTTGTGCATGCCTAAAATGAATGCAATTTAGCAAGAATCCCCTCGGAGATAGATCGATCCTGCTAGTACAATAGAGTTATGGGAATGGTCCCTTTTACATATCAGCCAGGCTACGATGTAAATCTTCAGAAGTAATTCGAAACAGATACAAAAAAAAAAAAAAATGCTGTGTGAAAAGGGAAAAGAAGCTTAAAAGGATTAAGGTACATTTACTTTTTGTGTAACAACTACACAATTGTGTCAGCAAAAATGCACATTCAATTCCATAACTTAGTGCATGAAATTCACCTTCATTACCTGTTTTTCACCATATTTCCTTGACAGATCCTCTAGAAGAACAGCACTGTAGTCTGATTCATCAGTGGGAGTGGGAGGCACATATTCATCACTCACAGTTCTTATTGCCTGTGTAAAGGAAATGTTGAATATAAACAAGTGGCCGTGAGTTTGAGAGAGAGAGAGAGTGAGTAAGAACAAGCCATCTCAGTGTGTTTCTCAAGTGTTATTGTTTTCCCCATGCCCTTTCACCCACTGACACAATTTTCAAGAAAAAAAATCCATATCATTCCGCTAAATAAAAAAGGCACAACCAACTTCGTTAATCAATGCAGGCTGACAATGGCAGTGGACAAAAAAATTTGAATGGATAACTCAGAAAGTTTGCATTCGCATTGAAATCCCTCTGCTTAGTCAACAGCCATTATCCAGGGTAACTTAAACCAAAGTTTCTTACTTTTAACATATAGTTCTTGCTTTCCTCTTTCAGTGTGCACTTCGTAAACATGCAATCGGGATTAATGCCCTACAAAACAAGAAGAATGTTCTTTGATGATACTATGCTTTTATTAGCCAGACATAAGTTTTGTTTCAAACAAGTACCCATGTTATTCAAATTATGCCAACAGTAAAGGAGCAATAGAAAGGGAAAAAAATGCACATTCACTGGCATTGTTAAAAATGTTATATATTATTTTAAAAAACTGGCCATGCACTTCTGTCCACATTAAGAATAACAGCCAAGTTCTCTGTCACTGTAAACAATTTACCATAGTGACACTTACTAGCATCATACCTAAAACAATTTTTCCGACAATCACAACTAACTCATTTTGCTTTTCTTTTTATTTCAAAGCAGACTTCTGTCTCTTTTTATAGTTCCTTAGAATCACTCAAGGCTCGTGGAAAAGCACACCTAACGCATTTATGAGCACAATCACACTCTTCACTGTCACACCAATCACAAATTTCTAGCATCAAAATTAACACACCTTGCTTTCCATTGTGGTTAGACACATTTGAATCTCATCACGTCGGCCCTCAGCATCCCTGCCCAGACATTCTAGAAGAGCAGCGTAGGACTCCGCGTCTGGCTCCACCTCTGAATACCCTGCTTCCTCCATCATTTCTAACAGGGAATATATTCGACGCAGGTGGGTCTAAAAAAAACAGATAAACTGCCCAATATCAAGAGTTCCTAAAATTTGCCTTTCAGTAAAAGCATCACTGTCCCAGTCCAGACCATTCCAAACTGCATCAGAGCCAATATCGCAGGACCAAACTGATGAGATAAAGTGGCCTTTTTTAAAATTCTTAATAAAACAAAGCTTTCAGTTGGCTACCAAATTCCACAGCAGTCTTCACTAGGACCAATTCTGAACTGAAGTGATTCCGTGTCACAGGTTCTTTTCCAGACTTACCTTATCCGAGGCATAAGCATGGAGGAGAAGGTTGTAAACGGACACATGAACCTTTAGCCTGTTCTTCCGGAAGTCAATTTTGCTGTTTGACCATTTCAACAAAGCTCTCTTCAGTGTGAGGAATGCAGTGTCAAGCTAAAAAAAAAAATCATTCATTAATTAATCAATTAATTTAAAAATGAGGTTAATTGTCTGATTATAATAAATGAATTAATATGGCTGAGGGTCTTGTTAGGGTCATGTCGAAGTCCGGGTCATATTATGGGGTACTGCAAGCACTTATCTTGTATATTGTTTAAAATATAAGATATATAGGAAATAAAATATAATACAGAATTATAGTCCTTTACCTCTTAAGGGTGCTGAACAGTGAACAACTATCACATGGTTTCTTTGTATTCCATTCAACAAAAACCAAAATTATGGAGCTTCCATGTTAACAAAATGCGGCAGTCTTGCAAAAAAAAAAAAAAAAAAAAAAAAAAACATTATGCGTCTGGTGGCTCACTTACATCTCCTATGTATAAACATGCATCTACATAGGCCAGCAGCTCGGCTGTGATTTGCTCTCCACCTATCCCATATTCTAGTAGTTTCCTTAAATCGCTGAAATGAAGACATACATTCAATTATATTTGATACTAACAGTGCCATGTCATTCATAGCTTGGAAAATGTCACTCCCAACACACTGTCTCACCATTTGCCTACTAATACACTATCACATTTAATACCATGTCACACCAAATGCATTTGCCTTAGGGTGCATTCCTAATGAAGCTTTTTTTTCTTAGTAGATTGATCCAACTCCATGGGGACTCCTGCTGAATGCAATCAAAATTTAAAAATTAACACGTTTCCTCTTGATTCCATCATATTCATATAATCACCAACTTTTCTGTATTCTACTCAACATCAGGATAAGGCAGGTTCAACATCAGGATAAGACAGGTTCAACATCAGGATAAGGCAGGTTCATCCAAGGGTGCTTTCCCAGAGATTTAGATCGATCTAAAGATTAAGTTTTAGATCGACCTAACTCCCTGGGGGTTCAGGCTAAATTGCAGTCAGCCGAGCGGACACCATAGTTAATTACCCCCTTAAAGCTTTTAGTAGGCTGGACAGACGCTTAAGCTGGCCAAGCTGACAGTAATCTAGTGAGGCTCCCCACAGGGATAGATCGATCTAAAAATCTATGGAAATGGGGTGTAATTGTATTCAGCAAGCACCCATAGATTTAGAACGATCTACATAGAAGGATAGTTCCATTTAGGAATGAGCCTTTTCTCCTTTCAAATTTCACCCAACCATGCATGTACTATATAATCAGATTAACAGCTTTTAAAAATAAAACTAAAATCGCGTTCCAATAAACCCAGCGCACTAGCAGGATCGATCTTACTCTGAGGGGTTTCTTGCTAAAGAGCTTCCAGAGTAATCAGCTTAATTGTCTGGCTCGCACAGTTGAGTATCAATTACCCCCTTGAAGCTTGAGTAGGCATGCCAGATATCATTTCAGCCACTTACACTGAATGCAATTTAGCAACAATCCCTGCCGAGTTAGATCGATCCACCTAGAATAATAGGGTTTTGGGAAAGGTCTTTTAAGTTATGGTTCTGAAACAAATTTGGCCAGACGGGGGCATAACATAATAGGACCCATGTATTAAAACAAATGGGTGTATATAAATACAAATATAAAAACTTTTTTTTTTCTTATTGTCAATTTTATGCAAAAATACCTCACACAACACATTATCCTCACCTTTTCAAATCAAGTGTTTTTATTTCAAGCAAATCTTTTTCCTCCTCTTTCTCTTCCTGGTATGCCACCTCTAACTCGTTCTCGACCTGATGAAAATCCAAGCTCTCTCCAACTTGATGAAAAATCTTCTTTGTATCTATGAAGGCAGGGGGGTCTTTAATAACCTTGGGAAAATTTTTCTTTGTCTTTGTTTGTTTTTCAATGTTTTTCACTGTTTTTCTGTTGCTAAAATGGGCAATAAATTTGGACACTACCTCTTGAGGTCCGAACATACCCGATTCCGTTACAAGCAATTCAACATCAAGCTCTCTTTTCTTTTTTTTGAATTTCTTTTTGGTGCTTTCTGTTTGTTCCCAAGCATCTAAGATGCATGTAGTTTTTCGTAATTCCTCTTTTTTCTGTTGGTCTGTCACAAATGATGATGATGATGATGATGATGATGATGAAGCACCTGTAAAAGAAACAGTTACAAATGATTCTCACATTGAAAACTATAAAAAAGCACTCCGAGAGCGCAGACCTCCGCCAAGGCAGCAATTTTTTTCATTATTGATTATTGATTGATTATTGATCCAGATCACCACCAATAACTAATCATCTCTTCCTTGACCCACTTGACTTCTGACAGTTCCTGTAAATTTCATCAAAATCGGTCCATAACTTTTTGAGTTATGTTGATGACAAACAAACAAACAAACAGACAGACAGACAAACATAAGGGCAAAAACATAACCTCCTTGGCGGAGGTAAAAATGATTCTCACATTAAAATACAACAAATATTCTTCACTAATAATTTTAACCTATGAATGAGAAGAGAATTCAATGAACTTGCCAACAATTCAGTGTTTGACCTTCGTTTGAAATAGTACAGGCCAATTTGGCCAGTGTGCTCTGAAAGTTNGTCAGATCGATCCACCTAGAATAATAGGGTTTTGGGAAAGGTCTTTTAAGTTATGGTTCTGAAACAAATTTGGCCAGACGGGGGCATAACATAATAAGACCCATGTATTAAAACAAATGGGTGTATATAAATACAAATATAAAAACTTTTTTTTTTTTATTGTCAATTTTATGCAAAAATACCTCACACAACACATTATCCTCACCTTTTCAAATCAAGTGTTTTTATTTCAAGCAAATCTTTTTCCTCCTCTTTCTCTTCCTGGTATGCCACCTCTAACTCGTTCTCGACCTGATGAAAATCCAAGCTCTCTCCAACTTGATGAAAAATCTTCTTTGTATCTATGAAGGCAGGGGGGTCTTTAATAACCTTGGGAAAATTTTTCTTTGTCTTTGTTTGTTTTTCAATGTTTTTCACTGTTTTTCTGTTGCTAAAATGGGCAATAAATTTGGACACTACCTCTTGAGGTCCGAACATACCCGATTCCGTTACAAGCAATTCAACATCAAGCTCTCTTTTCTTTTTTTTGAATTTCTTTTTGGTGCTTTCTGTTTGCTCCCAAGCATCTAAGATGCATGTAGTTTTTCGTAATTCCTCTTTTTTCTGTTGGTCTGTCACAAATGATGATGATGATGATGATGATGATGAAGCACCTGTAAAAGAAACAGTTACAAATGATTCTCGCATTGAAAACTATAGAAAAGCACTCCGAGAGCGCAGACCTCCGCCAAGGCAGCAATTTTTTTCATTATTGATTATTGATTGATTATTGATCCAGATCACCACCAATAACTAATCATCTCTTCCTTGACCCACTTGACTTCTGACAGTTCCTGTAAATTTCATCAAAATCGGTCCATAACTTTTTGAGTTATGTTGATGACAAACAAACAAACAAACAGACAGACAGACAAACATAAGGGCAAAAACATAACCTCCTTGGCGGAGGTAAAAATGATTCTCACATTAAAATACAACAAATATTCTTCACTAATAATTTTAACCTATGAATGAGAAGAGAATTCAATGAACTTGCCAACAATTCAGTTCCAGTAAAAAAAATTTCTTATCACACAGCAAGGAGTTTGTTCATCAAAACTATACATGCAATTTCTTAACCAGACAGCAAAGCTAGCAAATATACAGACACCAAACAACAATAAACTGTACAATAATGCAAAAAAAATCAATAACTTTTCTAAAAAATAATTGGATCTTGCTGATTTTCATAAGGAACCCACAATTTTTACCATGCAAAGCCATCAGATTAAAAAAAAAGTTTGGCAGCAACAGAGTGTTGACCTCATGACCAGAATAAAAACAGAAATGTACAATGTCAGGGGCAGATCCAGAGATATTTTCTGACAGTCTTCCAAATTACACCTTTGTTGATCCATCTTCCATTTTTGACCGTCTTTCAACAGAAAAATTAGATACCCCTCAATGTAAACTGGAAAATATGACCGTCTTCCAAATCCGCTGCTGAGTGAAGTGTACCTATATAAAAACTAAAATGACTCACCCCTCTTGGCAAAGTCTCCAGGTTTCACTGTAGATTTTTTCACATCATCTCTCATCCTGCTATTAGCAGGACTCTCCTCTGTGCAGTTTGAATTTTTTTTGTTGTCAGAACAAGCCATGTATATTTGTGGTCTTGTACTTGCGTATACAAACTGACCTTGTCTACAGAGTACATCATGTTTGTCTGAAAAATTCAAAGACACATGAATTCAAGTTACAAAATACACGTAATTGCATGTAAGATACACAAAGCAGGCACAGCCCATACTCATACCCTGTAATTAATAATAATTCACTGATCCAACTCACGATCAACTTATCAAATCAGTATGATATGTTTATGTCTCTGTTTAGCACGATTCCCAGCGCAGTTGGATCAAGCTACATATAACAATGGTTGAATTAGTAAGGGACCCCATGATACTAAGACTGGGTTCCCATCCCTAGATCGATCTAACAGGATCGGTCCATCTCCAAGGGGTTTCTCGTTAAATTGCCTACTAAAGCTGCTAGACGACAGTTAATTACCACCTATCAGCTTAGTGGGCGTGACAGACATCTAGGCCGCTTAAGTTGGTTGCAATTTATCAAGAACCCCCTAGGAGATGGATCGATCAAAAGTTTGTACGATAGGGCTGGGATTGGTTGTACCAGTGCGTGGCGGAACTAAGACCCCATTTCCAGAGATTAGATCGATCTACTTTAGATCGACCTAACTCCCTGGGGGTTCACGCTAAATAGCTGTCAGTCGGGCAGACACGAAAGTTAATTACCCCCCTACAGCTTGTAGTAGGCGGGACGGACATTTAAGCCGGATTATCTGACAGTAATCTAGTGAGACTCCCCGCGGGGATAGATCGATCTAAAAGCTCTGGGAATATATACAGCCTAAGACATGACTACTGGGGTGAAGCAAAACTACACAGCGCCACCGCACCCCTGGACCCACCAAAGATAATGTCCCGCAGCGAACTTACAGTATCTGTTCCAATTATGGAACTGCTGCAACCTCTTGCACCAAGAACAAGTGGACAGGTAGGCACGTAATAAAGCAGTTCCCGTGGTCACATTCTCCGCAGGTACTGCCACCGCTGCATTGCGTAGAGCTAGAATCTGCGTCTTCTTCAAAAGAGGCATTTTGAAGCTTGTTGTCATCTAAGAGTATCCATGTCGACTCAAGTTACTACCTAAACTAATTTTATTAGGCCGTAGCAGTGCATTTAATAACACGTGCGAGACATTTTCAATAAGGTTTGTATCCAAATGATGGGCGAGTTCTCATATGACCTTGGGGTACAGGAAGTGCGTAAAGCAACGACGATTCAGATGAAAAACACCTAATTTAGACTTGGGCGAGATAAAATAACGTAGAAAGAATAAATTGCACTCAAATAATTCAATAGGGATCCCTACTGAGAGACCGCTGATTACTTGAGATATGTCATGTCAGACCAGCAGCCAGATGCCATTTCAGGCCAGTTTGAAACCAGCAATGTGGTATTCAACATGTCGGTCCTTTTGATATAATTTACCAGTTGATACTACATCAGTAAATGCTGTGTTGTAAATTATAGAGTTCGTGGGCAAATTCTTTTGAAGAAACGGTGTTTGTAGTAAAGTTAGTTGGCTACGTTTTCATTTTATGTGTATTTTTCCTAGACTTCTCAAGGCCCGACGCTAAAACGTAACAAATTACAACACACAGAATGACTTTATTTGTGACTAAAAACTGCACACTATTTGCACTCATTCAATATATAAAACTACGTTTTATCTATTTACTTGTGCAACTGTGGTTTATAATAATTTATGCAGGCCTATATATTACCAGTATATGCATTGCATCAACGGTACATGCCAATACGTCCCCGCACCGATACTCCCCCGCACCGGTACATCCCCGCACCAATACTTCCCCGCACCGATACTCCCCCACAATCACAGATATACTGAGGGGGAGTATCGGTGCGGGGGAGTAACGGTGCGGGGGAGTATCGACTGTTGTGAGCACATGGACTCGGCATCGGAGATTATGGTACAATAGGGGNCCTCCCCCCCCCCCCCCCTTTTTTTTCTTTTTTTGTTCCGCTCAGGAAAAAAATCAGAAAACGTCAAAAACATGCGTTGAGCTAAGACTATTAGTTCGTTTCTGCTTTGATTTTGTTTACTTACCACTTGAAGTTGAAGCAGATTCTGCGACGCTCTCACTCTCAGTCTCTTCTACTTGGCGTTTCGAAATTTTTAAAAACTTCTCCATGCAGCTTTATGATCCACGTGCATCACGTTTTCTCCCGGAAGCGCCAACTGCGCAAAATCGCAAGACGTAAGTGAAACGAAACAGACAACATTTCCTATACTTCGTCAAAATCCGGCGCGCAAACGAAGGCTAGATGCTTTCAAAAACGTCAGCGAGACTGTGAATACGTCATTACGGAATTCCCCAACTTCAACCAATCACGATTATGAGAGTGAAAAGAGGTTAGCAGTAAGGGTAATCCCATGAACTTCCCTGTAAATTTTGGCATACGAGTCGGACTTAAATTGAGTCTAAATTTTGCCGATAAACTTAATACAGTAAGTTGACATAAGTCGCCAAAATGGCGACTTGCACCATAATTTTCACTCGCCAGATTTAATTTTAACTCGCATTGGCGAGCTGGCGAGTGCGAGTGTCAAACGCTGCAATTCAGTTCCAGTAAAAAATTTTCTTATCACACAGCAAGGAGTTTGTTCATCAAAACTATACATGCAAAACTATACAAAGCTAGCAAATATACAGACACCAAACAACAATAAACTGTACAATAATGCAAAAAAAATCAATAACTTTTCTAAAAAATAATTGGATCTTGCTGATTTTCATAAGGAACCCACAATTTTTACCATGCAAAGCCATCAGATTAAAAAAAAAGTTTGGCAGCAACAGAGTGTTGACCTCATGACCAGAATAAAAACAGAAATGTACAATGTCAGGGGCAGATCCAGAGATATTTTCTGACAGTCTTCCAAATTACACCTTTCTTGATCCATCTTCCATTTTTGACCGTCTTTCAACAGAAAAATTAGATACCCCTCAATGTAAACTGGAAAATATGACCGTCTTCCAAATCCGCTGCTGAGTGAAGTGTCCCTATATAAAAACTAAAATGACTCACCCCTCTTGGCAAAGTCTCCAGGTTTCACTGTAGATTTTTTCACATCATCTCTCATCCTGCTATTAGCAGGACTCTCCTCTGTGCAGTTTGAATTTTTTTTGTTGTCAGAACAAGCCATGTATATTTGTGGTCTTGTACTTGCGTATACAAACTGACCTTGTCTACAGAGTACATCATTTTTGTCTGAAAAATTCAAAGACACATGAATTCAAGTTACAAAATACACCTAATTGCATGTAAGATACACAATCAATTCTTTACTAACAAAGCAGGCCCAGCCCATACTCATACCCTGTAATTAATAATAATTCACTGATCCAACTCACGATCAACTTATCAAATCAGTATGATTTGTTTATGTCCCTGTTCAGCACGAGTCCCAGCGCAGTTGGATCAACCTACATATAACAATGGTTGAATTAGTAAGGGACCCCATGATACTAAGACTGGGTTACCATCCCTAGATCGATCTAACAGGATCGGTCCATCTCCAAGGGGTTTCTCGTTAAATTGCCTACTAAAGCTGCTAGACGACAGTTAATTACCACCTATCAGCTTAGTGGGCGTGACAGACATCTAGGCCGCTTAAGTTGGTTGCAATTTATCAAGAACCCCCTAGGAGATGGATCGATCAAAAGTTTGTACGATAGGGCTCGGATTGGTTGTACCAGTGCGTGGCGGAACTAAGATCCATTTCCAGAGATTAGATCGATCTACTTTAGATCGACCTAACTCCCTGGGGGTTCACGCTAAATAGCTGTCAGTCGGGCAGACACGAAAGTTAATTACCCCCCTACATCTCAATATCTGACAGTAATCTAGTGAGACTCCCCGCGGGGATAGATCGATCTAAAAGCTCTGGGAATACAGCCTAAGACATGACTACTGGGGTGAAGCAAAACTACACAGCGCCACCGCACCCCTGGACCCACCAAAGATAATGTCCCGCAGCGAACTTACAGTATCTGTTCCAGTTATGGAACTGCTGCAACCTCTTGCACCAAGAACAAGTGGACAGGTAGGCACGTAATAAAGCAGGTCCCGTGGTCACATTCTCCGCAGGTACTGCCACCGCTGCATTGCGTAGAGCTAGAATCTGCGTCTTCTTCAAAAGAGGCATTTTGAAGCTTGTTGTCATCTAAGAGTATCCATGTCGACTCAAGTTACTACCTAAACTAATTTTATTAGGCCGTAGCAGTGCATTTAATAACACGTGCGAGACATTTTCAATAAGGTTTGTATCCAAATGATGGGCGAGTTCTCATATGACCTTGGGGTACAGGAAGTGCGTAAAGCAACGACGATTCAGATGAAAAACACCTAATTTAGACTTGGGCGAGATAAAATAACGTAGAAAGAATAAATTGCACTCAAAAAATTCAATAGGGATCCCTACTGAGAGACCGCTGATTACTTGAGATATGTCATGTCAGACCAGCAGCCAGATGCCATTTCAGGCCAGTTTGAAACCAGCAATGTGGTATTCAACATGTCGGTCTTTTTACTATAATTTACCAGTTGATACTACATCAGTAAATTCTGTGTTGTAAATTATACAGTTCGAGGGCAAATTCTTTTGAAGAAACGGTGTTTATAGTAAAGTTAGTTGGCTACGTTTTCATTTTATGAAAGTGTATTTTTCCTAGACTTCTCAAGGCCCGACGCTAAAACGTAAGAAATTACAACACACAGGCCTATAAGAATGACTTTATTTGTGAATAAAAACTGCACACTATTTGCATTCATTCAATATATAAAACTACGTTTTATCTATTTACTTGTGCAACTGTGGTTTAGGCCTATAATAATTTATGCAGGCCTATATACTAGTATTACCAGTATGCATTGCATCAACGGTTACATGCCTATACGTCCCCGCACCGATACTCCCCCACAATTACAGATATACTGAGGGGGAGTATCGGTGCGGGGGAGTAACGGTGCGGGGGAGTATCAACTGTTGTGAGCACATGGACTCGGCATCGGGGATTATGGTACAATATTTATATTTACTCTCTATAGCAAACTGCATCATTTATTTATTTATTTATTGTGTAATTGTAATTGTATAATAATATGTAGCTTGATAATACCATGGAGCCTACACTATATGGCTTGTATCAATAAAGTTCTTGTTTGAAAGCGATATATAAGTGAATAGTTTTTACCTCAAAGACGCTTCCCAACATCACGTGATTGCAAGTGAAACCTAGTTTATTTATTAATTATTTTTTTTATGTGGCAGCATTATCTCATAACGCATGACAAATTTTAATTCTGCATTATCTGAAAGCGGATAAGGGAAAAAAATCCTAACGTGTCGAACCACGTTCGGATGCTACCATGCACTCATTGTGTTGCCCGTGGTAAGCAACATTTCTTGTAACAACTAACACACTCGCTTCTGTCACGCCGTACGCGTCGGGCCTTGAGAAATGTAGGAAAAATAAAATAACCAAAATCGTCAACACAATTATGCTCTATTTATGCTATTTTATTTATAATTGTTGTAAATTAGATGGAGACTGAATAATTTCACTCCTAACAGAATAAACAGGAAAATTAAAAGTAGATCGTAGGCCTATATATATAGGCCTACTTGGGTATTTTCGCAACAGTTTTAGAGGGTATATACTTTTCTAATAAAATGAGATTGTTGGCATCATCAATTTGCTGTATAAATGCAGGCCCGTAGCCAGAAATTTCAAAAGGGGGGTTCTTTTTCTAAAAGAGTGGACCTTTTTCCATAAAAACTTCATGTACCTAGATCAAACTTTACCCAGAGTGGACCTTTTCTCAGCAAAAGGGGTGGTTCTTTCGAACCCCCCGAACCCCCCCTGAAATGTCTACCGCATTGCATGCATTCAAAGGTCCGGTTTATACAAACTTTGCATCTAAACATATTATTTGTGAAGTATGAAAAGACTTAAATCAAAAGATATCCAAAAACAGAGTTCTCAGCTGCTACGAATTATTGTGTACTGCACACTCAGGTTAAAAATGGCAAGATTTGAAATCATTTTTGACAAATGGCTTAGACATCAAGTTCAAAAACTATTCAAGGACAAAGAAGATGGAAGTTCTTTTCAAGGCCAATAACAATTTCAAGTAGGAACGATGTTAACTAGCTAATTCGACTAATTATAATTTATGGGATGAGGTGATAAATGGCATATTAAAACATTCAAACATTTTTTTTTCTTTTTAACACTCTTTATTGAATTCTTCAATCAACTTCAATCAATTAAGTATTGACAGTATTTCACTGGGAGAGTTTGAAATATCCTGTGATAAGTTGTCATAGCAACCAAAAGTAGAAGTACCTGGCGTTTTCACAAGTGAAAACAGTGCTTAACGTGATTTATTTTTTTAAACAACTCATTGTGTGAATCTCAGCACATTATCTTGCACTATTATCAAGAAGCTATGGTAACAGAATTTTTAGCACCCTTGGTTGATTTATATCTACCATGCACTGATGCTACTGTGTAAGGAACGGATTTGATACATAAAGGTTGTACTTGAAGCTTAGTGGTGGTGTTGACACAACTAAAATATCACATGACTGCACAAGAATGATTTGCTATTATATACTTTCACTGTTACGAACAGTAAAAACAGGAGAATATTAATGAAAATCCAAGCTTAACACAATTAAACAAAAACTAAATGGCACAAAGTAAACAAGGTGTTTACTGGTCCAGATCTGACTGATGCTCCACCTGGTGGTGTATTGCAATGTTACCTTTACTTTGATTTCATATGAGTTTTAATACTTATACATAAGATGCTGAACTTGTGAACTTAGCGGTAATCCTTATTTCCAAAATGAAAAATAATTCTCATTAGCCCATTAGTTAAAATCAATCTTTTTTGTTACTTCTTTTAAAATTCAAAAGCACATAAAAGCCGACAAGTACGGCTGAGAGGAGTTGCAATCATACCTTCCTTTTTTTTTCTTTATGAACTAGGACCAGCCAGGGGGAGACATCAATGTTTTCATCACCTCAATCTTTAAATAATTCCAGATCAAACTTCCAGACTTAAAAAAATTAGTTTTCCACACACCAAGAACAAAACTTGAATGAGATTGACTCAAAAAAGGAATCTTCCTTCTAAAAAAAAAAAAAAAAAAACTAAAAAAAGAAAGAAAAAAATATTCAGGTCATGCAAAGACAATAAAATAATACGGCAAAATAAAGCTATTTACATAACTTAAAATTTGGGAAAATTGACTATTCCCACGTTGAAGTAAATATTGAAGCATTAATTTTAGCAACTACAGCACAACCTATCTGCAACTATTTAAGTAGCATTTCTAGTCCTGTCAAAGACAAAGACCACAATATTCGTATGCTGTTTTAACACACAAGACGGAAACCAAAAATCATCTAAAGCTCATTTTTTAAGGTCTTCATACAGCTAGCACACTGATATCTATCTGTTCTCTTTAGAAAATGCTGCTCATAGTGTTTGCTGCTTTCTGGTTTTCAGTAATCTTGTATGTAACAACAGCTCTTATTTGAATAATAAATTCACAACCTAGTGGGTAAATGTGTCTCAAACAGAAAAAAAAAAGAATTATCATTCCACAAATCAAATTTCTTTAAATGTCTGCAGGAAGATTGATACAAACAGGGTAACCTTTGTATTCATATTTGGCCAATCTATGTAACATTTTTGCATTTAAAATTGCCTTTAAAATTGGTAATAACACACAACTATGACAAACAGTTAATTCAGTTGTTTTAAATAATAGATTGAAATACCAAACACCTACATGTGAATCACAACAAAACTAAAATATTTCATTTAAAATATGCTTCAACCAAATAGTAACAAAAGATAAGATTTGGAAACAGTCAAACTTTGGATTGGTCCCATTTCAGCTGTTTCCATGGTTACCTGTTGTCATAGTAATACTGATACCAATCAAAAACCAAGTGCAATGTAAAGCCTATGAAGCAATAGCTGTGATAAACACCCAAAAAGCTGCAACACCTCAAAAATATACAATGGTTAAATATGTAAAGAATAAATTCTGTATTCATAAAAAATATCATCTGTGTTAACATCAGGTATGTAAGTATCTTTTTTTGGTCCCAATTAATGGCAAAATTGTAAGTTATCAGGAAAACGGAACGCCTGTATCGATGCAACAAGTGGTCCCCTCAAACCTCATAAATGCAATTATTGTTTAATACAAATACTACGTATCTTCACCCAATGTGACTACATTTGTTAATGTTAATCACAGCACAGACTTTGTTCTAGGGCTTACAATTACAGATTTCTTTCTTTTCTCCACTTCAACAAACTGACTAGATCTATCTTGCAAGATTGGTGCAAGCAAACAAACACACGCACAAAATGTTGGCAGACAAAAACTGCCAGTTGATATAAAACAATATTATAGCTCAAGATACACTTCAATTCTATCACTCAATAATTCATCAATAATTTCAATCAATTCATCTTATTTTTCATAACTACAATGGATGCAAATAATCATCAAAGCACTAAATGTAAAACGTACTAAACTCTATTTACACCCTGCTAATCAATTACAAATGCACTCTCTGTGTGTAAATCAACTATGGGATGCATTCTATATGATTGTCACTGCAACACTGCAAACTAAGGGTACAGAAAGACATGAATGAGAAAAATAAATCCCAGCTTTCTGGGACCTTAATGATTTGCTTTCAAAAATAAAACAAAAATTCAACGCACATATAATTATATGTATGTACAAGTATATAAACTATAATTCATAGATATATATGTATATATGAAGTGCTTCACATATTTGTGACACATAGAATGAGTAAAATATATCATAATTCCATACTCAGCTGTTCTTAAAGAAATGCCAGTGTTCCAAAAATAATAATTACGATAAAATAAAATGGCACTGACATGTCATATTGGCCAATAAGAAATGATTGTGTATCAGCTGCGGTCCAGTAAATGGGAAAATTACATGGAACATGCTAAAGGTGCTGATTTAATCTCGTACGGTTTTTGAACTGTCTTTGGGGACTCTGCCTCTTCTTCTGCCAAGTCTGAATCATTGTTGTTGTCCACTTTAAGTTTTTTCACTAAGGGCTCATCTGACTCATCACTATCATTGGCTATCTCATCTTCTTCAGCTAATGAAGAATCGTGATCAGGAGTGCCTTTTTCCAGGAAATTTCCAATCTGCTCAAAGTAAGAGTCATCCTTTTCTTCAAGCTCATTGGTAGGGGAGTCAACCACATTGGGGCCTTCTGACTCATGTTTCTTTAAATGACGATCAAGATTGGTCTGTTGCCCGAAGCAGCGATCGCAGAGTGGACATTTAAATGGCTTCTCTTTGTTGTGGATGTTACGCACATGACGCTGGAGGTTGGAGGAGATGCTGAACGATCTCTCACAGTACTTACACTTGTATGGTTGCTCTCCAGTGTGGGTACGCAAGTGACGAGTCAGGTTCGCTGAACGTGGGAATATCTTCCCGCAGAACTTGCAGGCATATCTCTCCTTGCTTCTTGCACTGCCAGGGGTATATTGGTAAGCCTCGGAATTCTTAATGGTGGCTGGGACAGTCTTGGGGGTGTCCGGACTAAGGACGGGGACGGCTGTACTGAAACTGACTGGAGCACCCATAGGGAAACGAGGCTGGAAAGCCATGAGCTTAGCAGCATTCTGCTGAAATGCATGGAACTTTTCTTTATCCATCATCATCATGGGATGGGCCATGGGGAAAGCTTGGTGCAATTTGTTACCCCCCTCACGCACATCACCATAGATGTGAGTTTTGCGAGCTGTGGCTGCGATGCCTTCATCATCGCTTTCTTCTTTCTTGATGACCTTCTTGGACAGATCTAGAGGCTGGTCAAGATCATTGTTGGACGGAGAATTTGACCTGGACAAGTTGAATGGGGTACCATTGCTGTTGGAGACAGGACTTCGACGACTGACATATGGCGGCACATATTCTGCCTTAATGTGAGCAGGCTTTGGTGCTTGTTCTTTCTCATTCTCACCATCAGATCCTGCAGCAGAGTCAAGGTCGCTTTGGTTGCTCAAGTTGGAGCGTTCATCTTCTGAACCCTCGGAGCCTCTCTTAGCCTTGTTAGGCAGATCATCATAGCTGTCGTCACTGCCAGTTTGGCTCATCTTGCCATCCGGTAACATAGATGGCGCCAAAGCCAGAGGGTGACCAGGCGGAAACATGTGGTAGCCTGCAGCAGCAGCTGCCAGAGGCGGGTAGAATGGATACAATGGGCGAGGGCCGTAAAAGCCCATATATGCTGCAGGGATCCCTGGTGCTGCCTGCGGGCTCACAACCCCCGGGGGCTTGATGGGATAGCCAAATCGGGTCCCATTTCTGATGACACCTTCGCAGAAACGCTTGTGCTTGCTGAGGGAGGTCACAGTTGAGAAAGCCTGGCCGCAATCCTTGCATTTGATCTGTTGGCGACAGTCAGCATGCATTCTCTTGTGGCGGCAGAGGTTGGAAAATTGAGTATACGCTTTCAGGCAGACTTCACACTGGAAAGGCTTGACACTACTGTGGATGTGCTGGTGCTGCTTCAGGCCACTGGATGTCGCAAAGGTTTTCCCACACTCCGGACAGGCATGGCAACGTGCACCAACATGCTGAGCACGAATGTGCCTTTGGAGATTGCTGGGATCTGTGAAATACTTGTCGCAGTGTTCGCATGGAAATTTGCGGTCACCATCTTCTTCAATGTACTGGAAAATGAAACAGAAACTGTAAATAGCACATATCACCCATTTTAAATTGATATATGCATCATGTGTGCACTCTCTTTTGGTTGAAATTGTAAGGCATTTAACGATAAAACCTGGCCGGAAATCAAACTGCCCCTCCTACATTTCTCACAAAATCTGAATTTCTATCCTTACTAAAGTACTGTTATGTATATTCATGTGTATACTCACGTTGCCGCCATATTTGAGTTCACTTTCTCCCTGGGAATCTGAGGCAGACTTATCATTGGAACTTTTGTCTCTGGAATTAAAAAAAGAAAATGTCAAGAAAGACCAAATAAAAGTTTCAGTTAACCACCAAACCATCTCCCTCTTCTAACTAACAGGAAAACTTATTGCCTTATATGCAGAACAAAATTTTTCTACTACTTAAAAGCAACTGTTTTTTTTTTTCTTAATTTTTAACTTTTACATTTTTTTTACTTAAATTGTCATGCTCAAGCCAGATATAACTGCTTGTACAGACAAGGGCTTTTGACCAACAGATCACTTAATTATTTTATTTTTATTTTTAAAATCAATGATGGAAATCATGAAAACCAATTATATACTGCTCTTACCCATCCATATTTTGGTTGTTTTCCCTGAATTCACTATTTATCTTGCTGTAGATGTTATTGGCATTGTTACACACGTAAGTTTCGTGTCGTCGCAGTGCAACTTTGGATCTAAATGCCTCACCGCATTCTCCACATGAATAACGTACTTCATCTGAAATAATAATAATAATAATAATAATAATAATGATAATAATAATAATAATAATAATAACTGAGCCAAAATTATGTTCAAATTAAGGAATAAAATAGTAATATATATGGAAGGAAAATATGTCATATGTACAGCGCTTGGACGATGGTGCCAGCTTCATTAACATTACTTTTTACATCAACCAACAAATAAAATAACTTTGGTGGCAGACTGGTAATCAAAATTCTTTTTAAAAACTTTTGTAACTTTGCAGCTTATAAAGAATGAAGTAGATCTATAGTATGTTTTCCAAGTTCAACAACTCACATAGGTCATAATAATAACACGCAACACTTTTTAGTTAAAATAGTTAACTATTTTTAGGCAAATCTCGTGCTTCAATAATATCACATTTGCTAAATATCACAAGATGAAATCTCCTCTCTCTCCTCCCTATGGTAATAAGCCACTGATAAGCAACAGACTACTACACCAGTTACACAAAAGGACGAGAGATGTACAAAATGGATGATCACACATCCACACCAAGAGATGAATATGAAGGTCGCCAGCGAGGAAAGGGTTCAATGGCGCGCATCAGTGCTTCCCTCTATCACACCATCCTCTCGATCTCCAGGTATCTTCTCAAATGACGAGATAATGGGAAGAGGGTAGCATAATGAGGCAGGGGATATCGTCAGTGATTTTTTTATCTGCTGCATCACTTTACACCTGTCCCTTGCTCTCCAATGAAAACCTATGACAAGGAAGTATTGGAGAATCCCTCTTAAAATGAAAGCAATCTCCCTGGCTTTCTAAATATAAACACACCAGGTTGCGGCCAGTGGTCCTCTTTTTTTTTCTCCAAAAGTAGAAACCTACATGAGCCATGTTAATGACTAGGTAAAATGTAATTTCCAACATGTATATCAACAACCTCAAAAACCTGCCGCATTTAGTCTATAGCCTGTATCTATAATAAAGCTAAATCCTTAGCTAGGCTAGTGGCCATGATAAACTTGGAAAAATGTTTTGAAAACACTTTTTAACATGGAAAAAGCAAACACAAAATATCCCGTTAACACGCATGCACACACGCAAACACACATGCAAGCATGCGCTCACACTCTAGACATCAAGGGATGGGAGAACAGTGATTTTTATTTGCAATCTGTGATCAGGTGATGCTGTTCTCAGTCTTAAAATAGTAGATAAACAAAATCCTCTCAATATATAATCTCAATTATCCCTCAGTATCTGAAGTGCAGTTTATCTTATCTTTTGAACAAGACACCCAGCTCTTAAAAAGTAATAAAGTTTGATAAATGGTTACTACTACTATCTTTTGACATTCAACCAGTTTAAATTTTTCAGTCCAGATTATCATTATTTTTCCAATTTTTTCTTCGAAGAAAAAATATAAGTAAAACTTAAATTAACTCGAGGGCTCATTTTTTAAGTTTTCCACCATCATGCATGTTAAAATCAGCACAAAATCAATAAATATGCAGGTTGGTTTGAGTTATCTTCAAATTATGACACCATTCTAGACACTGGCGTGAAGATGTCTCACGCTGCCGCAGCCTACCTCTCCAGAATGTGAAGGAGCAATAAATAATACCAGTACCATCTGACGCCTCACAAAGATTCCCACTCTAACAGAGATAAGTGGAAGCTTTCAGATACAGGCTATCTTCATTACAACAACAATAGAACTCCTGTTTGTTGTTCTATAAATACCTTTCATATTTAATGTTCCTGCAGGCCATTTCAGGGATTAGAAACCTTTTTTTTATCATTTCAATTCCATCACCACATATATTCAGTAATGCAGTTATTGCTGTTCATATTATTTTCACGTCTTTTAAAATTTTTTGACTTAACAACTGGTCCATAATTTTCTTTGCACCAATCTTAATTTTGATTCCATGTTTTATCATCCATATTGCAGCAATGATTATAAAATTATCACTATTCATGTACCACTGATATTCATAATGATGATTCTTCATCCTGTTTTTGTCAAACTGCTCATTAGTAAATTAATTTGATATTGTTAGCTACATGCATCATGAAATGCTACAGTTCATTTAACTTTGACAATGACCCAAAAAGGAATTTCCTGAATAAATATCCTCAATTAAAGACATACATATGCTTGAAGACACTGACAGAGACAAACTACACATCTCTGCAAGATCAAAGTGAACACCCTCTCTTTATAAATATTTTTGTTGGTCTTTCTGCTTACATTTTCCTTGATCATAAAAGTCCACAAGTGTACTTAATAAGCAATATAAACTTCCTAATTTCATAATTTTGCTGTTATCCCCATTTTCTTTCAACTTGATCACATAGTAACTTTACTTCCTACGGTGATTAAGACATTTGATGTGAAAATATATACGAGACGGATTAAAGGAGGGTCAGAGGAAGAGAAGGCTCAACAGTGACACCCCAGGGTTCCCCCTTCAGAGACAAAAAGAAGACCCCACAGTACAGGAACATCACCATTCTCATCTGCTCATCTTCTCGACTGGAAACAGGAAATTCCCAGCCCCCTTTCAAGACCAAAATGAAAAACCTGCAGCGGTGGTATGTCTCATCTGCTCATCTTCTCAACTAAACACAGGAAATTCCCAGCCCCTTTTCCACCAGGGACAAACATTTCTTCTCAGAGCCTTCACACATTGGCGTCATCTTCTGTGGGCCATGCGCCTTGGGTGACAGAGGCATTGTCTGCTGATCACTCGCCACTCCAGGTGAGAGACAGAGACAGCAGATCAGGTGACGATTTGATGGGTTTCAAGTGTTGTCATTTTGATCACATATCTGTTTTGCACTTCTGCCATGGTGCACATTGAGGGAACTGACAACTCCTAATGTCTGCTCATAAAATGCTATTTATTTCATATTTTGAATTAGAGAGAAAATTTAGAAAAAGAATCAAGTTATCGCATCTATACGAGAATTCATTCCAATATGGTTGTAAAGTTCAAATCTGCTGGTAGAGTTAACAACTAAGATTCATGTTTTAAAATGTTGAGATGTTAATTCTAACAATCTTTTAATAAACGTTTAACAAAAAAACATTTAAAATTCTTTCAATTTATTCCCTAGAATCAGACATTTGTGAAGTGATATCTAGACTTGAGAATCCAGAAAAATGCACAAAGAATAACAAGATCTTGTCTGTTGTCCACCTGCTGTAACATCAACTTTTTTACCCATTTTTCCCACAACGTCTGCATCTATAATTTCTTTCAAAAAGTAATGGGCAAAAAAGACCCAGCATCCCATAATTGCCTATCAAATCATCCTACCTTCATGCACAAGTGTTTAATTATGCAATTTTCCCTCCATGTTTACAAAATTCAAGATCCCGCATGCTCCACCATTATTTTGATACTGGGTTACCCAAATTGGCGACTCCTTCACATGGTGTCCTCACAAAGTTTAAATGTTTTCCATGCTTTCTTTTATCATCAATTTATAACCAACTTTGTTGAAATTACATTTAATATCATGCCCAATTGATGGGGGCATGGCAGGCGTTTGACTGAACAAGATTTATGGCCATATAATCACTACCCTCATCCTTTCAAAATTTGATATTTCAACCTTGACATCCTCTGAAATGAGCCTTTTTGATGAGTTTAGAAATGTGAGCCCATCATGTTTGTTGCATTACGTGTTATTTTATAAAATGTTTTCTCATAACTGCCATAACAACCACTAGGGATGAAAGCGTGTCACACCACCCCTGTCATCGTCCCATATTAGGACAAGATGTTCTCTGATTGAACCTTTTCAAAGCTCCAATAATTATGCTTACGTCTGGATGAGATAGTCTTTCTTACAGTCTAAAAAAAGAAAAGAATGGAACAGGATAAAATTTCATCTTCTTTGAGGGCAAAAACCTAACCCACCTAACCCTAAAAGACTATCACAAGGTCTGCTGTAAGGATATCTTGCA